AAGATATGCACAGAAAGCTCACTAAAGATGATATATAGATGGCAAATAAATATATGAAAAGATGCCCAGTATCATATGTCATTACAGAATTACACATTAAAACAACGGGATATCACTACACACTTGTTAGAATGGCTAAAATCGAAGACACTGACAACACCAAATGTTGGTGAGGATGTGGAGCAATAGGAACTCTCGTTCATTGCTGGTGGGAATGAAAAATGGCACAGCCACTTGGAAAGACAGTTTGGCAATTCATTCCAAAGCTTGAACATAGTCTTACCCTATGATCCAGCAATCATTCTCCTTTGTTTTTACCCAAATAAGTTGAAAACTCACGTCCACTAAAAAACCTGCACATGAATGTTTATAGCAACTTTATTCATAATTGCCAAAACTTGGAAGCAAACTAGATGTCCTTCAGGAGGTGAATGGATAAACTGTGATACATCGAGACAATGGAATGTTATTCAGCGCTAAGAAGAAGTGAAATATCATGCCACAAAAAGACATGGAGGAAAATTACACGCATATTACTAAGTGAAAGAAGCCAGGCTGAAAAGGCTACATACTATATGATTCCAACCATATGACATTCTGGAAAGGCAAAACTACAGAGACAGTAAAAAGATCAGTGGTTGCCAGGCTTCTTGGGGAGAAGGAAGAAAGGGATGAATCAATGGAGCACAGGGGATTTTTAGAGCAGTGAAACTGTTCTGTATGATACTGTAATGGTGGATACATAAAATTGTACACTTTTCAAAATTCATAGATCTGCACAACACCAAAAGTGAACCCTAATGTAAACTGTGGACTTTAGTTAATAATGTATCAATATTCATTCATTAACTGTAGCAAATGTACCATACTAATGCAAGATGTTAGTAACAGGGGAAACTGCCTGAAGGGGAAGGAGGAAGGGAATATATGAGAGCTCTCTGTACTTTCTGCTCAGTTTTTCTGTAAACCTAAAACTGCTCTAAAAATACAGTCCATTAATTAAAAAAAGAAAGACTAAAGAGAGTGCTCACCAGCACTTAGCAAAGTACCTGGCACCAAGTAGACACTCTATAAATGTTTACTGAATAAACAGATGAACAAATGAGTCAGCCAGTCAATGAATCAGTAGAACCCAGGCCTCTGAGTCCCAGTTCAGTCCTCATTCTTGTACATCAGAGGTAGGGTGACAATATAATTTATTGTCCAAACCAGGATATTCGAGAGTGAAGTGAGGTGCCATGGGTGTAAACTGGGAGCCCATGAGCCACATCTTGCCTGCAAATTTGTTTTGTTTGGCCACTCATATTGATGTCCGACACAATATTCTTTAAAAATTTCAATCAGTTGCCCACATTAAACACTGTGGAAACTTTGCATAAAAATGTGAATTTCTGCCTTCTCTCAGAAAATGGAAAGACCTGGTCACACTGGGGCCCACATGCCTGTGCGGTAGTTAAAGGCTGGAGCTGAGTAGCAGCTGCCCGCTTGGCGAGCACGTACCTTCCTGTTTGCCACGGACCCCACCACTCCCTTTTGTATCTCCTACTCTAGGCCAAGTGTGAGTTTCCATTTACCATCCCACTGTTTGGGTTTTGTTTTCTTCTGTAGTAGAGTTGAGAAAAAGAAAACTATTTCTTATACTCATGTCATGATTCAAAGTAGAAAACTGAAAAAAGGCTCAAGAGGGCTCCATACGTCTTGTCCCCAGTCTGCTTTACTCACATGCAGTATATTCTTGGCCTTTCTAGGTATTTGGGTTTGTCCCCTTTGGTCTGAACTTCGTGTCTCCCCAGGCCCCAGCCCATGCCGGCCTTTAGAATTTTCTCAGGCTGCCACCCACTGCTGGAAAAGCTGGAGGTGAGGAGAAAACAATGGGCATTATTTAAGCTTACATTTTTATTGTTATCCAAATTCAACATAGCTCATCGTCAACTTTTGGTGGAAATTATTTCTGTTGTTTTTCTTAATTGCCTCCAAATGTAACTGGAGAATGAGACGGAGCAGCAGAGAATACAGCACCTACCTTTCCTCTCTGCAAATGTGTTGTTGGAACACTTTGACACAGAACTTTGTCCACCCCTGCATTCACTCATTCCCCAAGCTCTAGCTATACTTAGAGATGGAAAGACCCTCATTTCAGCACCAGGATCCCCCGTATGTTGTCCTCAGCAGAGGAAACAATACAAGAAAAGTCACAGATACAGGAGAGCGTGGATGGGGCCTATTTAAGCTGAGGATTTGGACTTCATTCATAGGCAATCAGGAGCTGCTGAAGGTTTTTGGAGCAGGGGAGGGATGTGATCACAGCTAGAAATTGCATGGGGGACAGCTCTAGAAGCTGGAGCACCAGTAAGAGGCTGTTGCAGTGACCTGAGTAATAAGAGATGTGACTAAGGTAGAGAAAGTGGAACAGAAAGGATGGGACAGATTTGAGAGATGTCTTGAGGTTAGGCTTGGTAACTCATAAGATGTGGAGGGGGCGTGAACTAAGAGATGAAGAATTGAAGATTATTCAGAGATTTTGAGCTTAGGGGTTTAAGACACCAAAAGCATGATCAAAAAAAGGAAAAAGTTGGAAAATCAGACCTCATCAAAATTAACTTGTGCTTTGCAAAAAACCCTTTTAAGAGACTGAAAAGATAAATTACATAATGAGATAAAATATTGGCAAATCATATATCTGACAACAGATTTGTATCTAAAATATATTTTAAAAACTCCAAACTCAACAGTGAAAAGGAAAACCCAATTAGAGAATGGGCAAAAGACATGAGGAGGATATACAGATGGCAAATGAGCATGAGCACACAAAAAGATGTTCAACATCATCAGCCATTAGGAAAATGCAAATTGTGATCACAATGAGATATCATCACACACCTGTCAGAATGGCCAAAATAAAAAAACACCACCAAATGCTGGCAGGGATGCTGGAAAACTAGATCACTCACACATTGCTTGTGGGAATGTAAAATGGTACCACCATGCTGGAAAACAGCTTGGCAGTTTCTCATAAAACTAAACACACAACTACCACACAACCCAGCAATTACACTTCTGGGCATTTATCTCAGAAAAATGAAAACTATGTTCACATAAAAACCTGCTCATGAATGTTCATAGCAGCCTTATTCATAATATCCAAAAACTGGAAACAGCTCAGATGGCCTTCAACAACTAACTGGTTAAACAGACTGTACTACATCCATCCCATGGATTACTACTCAGCAATAAAAAGCAACAAACTTGATACACGCCACAACTTGGACAGATCATAATGGCAACATACTGAGTGAAAAAAGCCAATTGCAAAAGTTTATGTCCTGTGTGATTTCATTTATATAACGTTCTCAAAGTGACAAAATTTGAGAGATGGAGAATAGATTAATGGTTGTCAGGGCTTAGGGATGGTGAGGGAGGTGAGGTGAGAGTGACTATAAAGGGGTAGCAGAAGGGAGATCTTTGTGGTGATGGAATAATTCTGCATCTTGATTGTGGCAGAGGTTACATGAATCAATACTTGTGATAGGATTTCATAGAACTATACACACAAATGAATGCTATACACACAAGTGAAATCTGAGTAAGCTCTGTGAATTGTGCCAATGTCAATTTCCTGGTTTTGATATTGAACAACAATTGTGTAAGATGTTAACATTTGGCAAAACCTGGTGAAGGGTACATGGGACCTCTCTGTACTATTTTTTCTGCAACTTCCTGTGAATCTATAATTATTTTTAAATGAAAAGTTAAGTACAAAGAAAAAGGAATGAACTATTGATACATGCAAAAATTTTAATGAATCTAAAAGGCATTATGCTGAGTGAAAGAAGCCAATCTTAAAAGGTTACATACTGTTTGATTCCATTTATATGACATTCTTAAAATGACAACACTACAGTGATAAAGAACAGATCAGTGGTTGCCAGGTGGTAGGGAAGGGAGGAGGCTGGGACTGCAAAAGGATAGCACAAGGGGATTGGGTGGGGTGATGGAAATGTTCTCTATCATGAATCTATACACGTGTTTAAAAATTATAGATCTGTATGTACAAAAAAGTCAATGTTACTGTAGGTTAATTTAAAAATTAAAAATTAAAGTAGATAGTTAAGTGAGTTTCTGATTTGTTTCTTCTTTCCTTCCTTCCTTTCTTCCATTCATCCATTCCTTCAGCCACTTACTGAGCACCTACTATGTGTGAGGTACTGTGCTAGACTTTGGAAATCAACTGAAAGTAAGACAGCCCAGGTCCCTGCCCTCATGGAGCATTTTTCCTGTTTCAGAGAAGTGGTCAGTAGGGTTTGGAGCCCAGTGTTTCTACTTGAGGAAGTGGGGCAAGGAGAAGACCAAGGAGGGACCAAGTGAGCAAACTTTTCATTCCTGGAGCCCAGTCCTGTAGGACTTCAAAGGATCACTTTTCCCTCAAAGACTGCTAGGCCTGAGGGCAGGGAAAAGCCCCCAGTCCATACTTGACAGGTACTCACAAGAAAAAAGGCTAGGAGGGTTGTGCCCTGCAGAGAGGGGAAGAAAGTTTGGGGAGAGGGGGCAATTTGATGCAGGTAGTGAAGTGTGAACTCTGAAAAGTGTTGCGTGTGTGTGTGTGTGTGTGTGTGTGTGTGTGTGTGTGTGTGTGTGTGTGTGTGTGTCTTAAAACAACCACTTGTTGAGCTCATGACTCTGTGGATTAGCAATTGAGCTGGGCTCAGCTGGGTGGCTCTTCTGGTTTGGGCCTGATTCACCCAGCAACTGCAGTCAGCTGGCTGTCAAAGGCCTCATTTATCTGTCCAGTAGTTGGCTGGTGATTGCTGGGGTGACAGGGGTATCTGGGCCATTTGTCTGTCATCAATCAGTAGGCTAGCCTGGGCTTATTCACAAGGGTTCTCAAGAGCAGGAAGAGAATAAGCCCCAAAATGCAGTGCTTTTTTAAAAAAACAGCTTTATTGAGGTATAATTCACATACATTACCTGAATTTGAATTTTGTTTTCTCTCCTGTTTGCAGGGAATCTGAAGCATGTGGTCTAGTTGACAAAACGAGATCAGGTTTCCAGAGCTGAGGAGCAGTGCTGTAATGAAGACAGCATGTTTATGCAAGCAGTTTGTGGAATTTGTGGCTGCAGGGGAAATTTGGAAAGAATTACTTCCTGAAAATTTCCAAGGGCCACCAAGTGGCAGCTGGCCTCCTGGGGTGAGGAAGCAGGCACCCCAGAGTCCTCAATTAGGCCTAGGGGAAGAGGGAGATATCCAACATTTAGAGTGTTTATTTTTAAAGAACACACAAAAACCGTTTTTAATCTTTGAAAATTATTTTTAAGCAAGTTGGGGAAGGGGTATTTTTATTTTCTTAAAGGAGACAAATCAGAAGCTGGAGGAGAGCATGGCACTTTGGTCATCAATTTGTGGTGTGGGGAGCAGCTGAGAGGCGGGGTTTGGGCCTCAGGACCATCCAGGTGGAGCCCTGGGGGAGGGTGACTGATCAGCAGAATGGGATGTGGGGAGAAATACGCTGGTGTTGTTTTAGGATTATGTATCTATTTTGGTTTTTAATAAAATCTTTAAAACCTACCCCTTTGTCCCATTGTCCTCATTGTAAGCCACCACCAATAGCACACATGGTTCTGAACTTTTCCTCTCACTGAAGTATCAAGTACTTCCATGCTCTGCTCTGGCCCAGACTGAGAGGCTGACCCTGAGTGTTGGACCCCCTGCCCAAGTCCTAGGGACAGAAGACCAAGCTCTGTCTTGCGCTGGGGCCCATCCATGGGGGGGTGGGAGGGGCGGTGCATGGTAATACAGGCGCTGCAACCATGAAGAGGGTCTTCCCGGCACCCTGGGGTTAAACTGCCCCTGCCCAAGGAGGAATTTAGGGATGGAAGAGCAGGTTGGCATGTCAGATCTAAGAGGGGCATTTCTACTCAGCTATAAAAGAATGAAGTACTGCCATTTGCAACGACATGGATGGACCTAGAGAGAATTATATTAAGTGAAACAAGTCAGGCACAGAAAGAGAAATATCACATGTTCTCACTTATTTGTGGGAGCTAAAAATAAATAAATAAATACACAAAAAAAATGGGGCGGGAAGAAGACACAACAATTACAATTCCTTGAAGTTGATACGACAAGCAAACAGAAAGGACATTGTTGGGAGGGAGGGGGGAGAGGGAGAAGGAAGGGAGGTTTCGGTGATGGGCCACAATAATCAACCACATTGTATATCGACAAAATAAGATAAAATATTAAAAAAAAATAATAAGAGGGGCATTTCCATGGATAGAGAGGATACTTCCCCATCAGATGTAGACAGTCGGCACACATGATGAAAAGCAGGTGCAGTTGTGTTACTTCAACCTCCAGGGAGATGGCAAAATGGAAAAATGGTGATGGGGATAACGAGAGAGATGAGGAAGAGAAGGGGACAACCAAATGGCATGATTTTGTAATTTGATTTACCAAATATTTATGAAGCTCCTTCAACTGCTGGGACTGGAATGGGAGACACGGACACAGCCCCAACCTGGCCACTTAGGAATTCCCAGACAAGGCAAGGGGGGAGGAAAAGCAGGGCCCAACATGTTTCAAGCTGTTACTAACATGAAGCCAGAGCTGTGGGAACACTGGAGACAGAGCAACTCGTCTTACTGGAGAGGCATCCCATAGCGCTTCTAAGGGGATGATATTTGAGCCAGGCCTTGTAGGGTGAGTTGTATTTCTCCAGGCCTCCAAGTGGGGGAAGGGCATTCCGCAGAAGGGAGTGGAAAAAGCCTTGAATGTGTCCTGGGATGGGAATAGTCAAGCTTTTATTAAACAGCATTGGGGCGCCTGGTCAGCTAGGAATACCAGTCACTTTGCATGGCCACTATTCTAATTATACACTCTGCTTAACGGCAGTTCTACTTATACCAAAAAGAAGGGGGATTTTAAAAAAATAGTGGGAGGCGCTGAATGAGGCAGTTCAGAGCTAGGGAAAGCCAGGGAAGCAGGCAAATGGGAGCTCTTGAATTGCCAGCCTACAAGAGACCACCAGCCAAGGTTTGCCTTCTCAAAGGCTTTTTTAGCCTGGTCTTGGTTCCCCTAGCCCAGTGCTCTAGAGGGGACCCACCCCCAAAGTCATCCACCAAATCCCTGTGAAGGCCTCAGCCCTGAGAGGCAGCCACCTGGCAAAGAGTGAGAAATAACTGGCTCCCCATTTTCCTTTCAATGACAATGGACTTGGGCAAAGATATGCCACCCAGTGGGGGAGAGTGGCAGGAGGCGCCAGGATGCCAGGAGCCCTTTGCTGCTTTCTGCTCTCCAGGTTGGCAAGGCCTAAACCAAGCACAAGCTGTTGAAGTGACCCCCTGCTGTGCCTCCCAGAGACTGGGCCTGCTCCTGAGAGGGCGCCACCTCAGTGGCCTTCAGGATTCCTTCTCATTTGATTCTTGTTGAAAATGGTCGCTAAAAAAAAGGTCCCATAGATAAAACTAGGAATGATTTTAAATATTTAGAAATTAAAATTGCGATACCCAAAAGTAGGCATGGCATTCACAAAACCAGCAAGACATTAAGAGTTACTCTGCCCAGAATTATCATAAGTGTAGGGGGTGGGGGGAGGAGCTGAAAGGAAATACACCAAAATATTAGCTGAAGTGGACTGGCCCGTTAGCCGAGTTGGTCAGAGCACTGTGTTACAACACCAAGGTCAAGAGTTCGGATCCCCAGCCAAAAAAACCCCCAAAAACAAATATTAATTCAGGTGGGCTTTTACAGAGGAGAAAAGTATTAGGATGGGTTTTATTTTTTCTTCTCCTTCTTTCTACTTTTTAATATTTTCCAATTTTCTCTAGTTAGCACTTTTTACTTTATAATAGGAAAAATAAATAAACTTTAAAAAAACAGAATTGATCTGTGGGAGGTGGGGGTGCAGGAGTGGTTGAAGATCAAAATCAGTTCAAGACACCCACTGCAGAAGAGTTTGTGCTCAGGCCCCGGGGCTGTTCTAATTGCCTGGAGGCCAGGCAAGACCAGTCAGCTTGGCAGGCTCCTAATTTACAATTCACTAGGCCAGAGAGGGTCTTTTTGGATAAATTGGCTTGAGGACAGGGCAAATTTGTACTCAGCGTGAGACTGCCTCCCCTTCAGGAAACACCTGCCCACCCCCCACCTTGTGCCTGCAGGGACCAGCCAAAGTAGCTGTAATTAACAAAGGCAAAAGCAAGCATTGGGATGCGCCCCATTTTACATATCATTTTCTCTTATGTGTGTGTCACTATCCACCCTGTTGGGTGGCTATTATCATCCCACTTTATAGATTAGGAAACTGAGGCTACAAACTGTGAAGTAACTTGCCCAGTTGTACGTGGCAGAGCCAGGAAACAAACCCAACTGGAACTGCAAATTCCCTTACTTTTTCTACTGCCCCACACCAGTACCACTAGAATATTTTTAAACTGTGACTTTGGAGTAAACAACTTTCTAATTGCTTTCAAAGTCCAAGCTGGACCAAGCCACGTGCTGCTCCTGGGCCTTCACCACACAACAACCTTAATAAGTTGTGTGCTTTTCAGCAAGTTATTCGACCTTCCTGGGTCTGTTTCCTTACCCACAAAATGGAGCAAATAATTGTTGGACCTCATGAGCTATTGTGAGTGGTTGACGAATTATCATAGATGGAAGCACTTTGAAAAAAGTCTAAAGTGTGCAGGAGGGCCTGCCAAGAAAATGGGCCAGGAAAGGCTTACCTCTGAGGAAACCCAATGCTTCCGGGAGACCTACAGGCCTCTACCGTATCCGAGGCACTCACAAGGGCCAGAGAGACAAAGAGAGAAGTTGAGGCTGTGTGTACAACTCAAGGGTTAAGAAAATAATCATTTAAAAAATAATATACATGGGCCGCCCCGGTGGTGCACTGGATAGTGCGCCACTTGGGAAGCGCAGCGGCGCTCCCGCCCGAGGGTTCGGATCCCACATACAGACCGGTTCCCGCTCACTGGCTGAGCGAGGCGCGGGGGCGACACCGAGGGTTGCGATCCCGTTGCTGGTCCCGGTCCGGTACGGGGGCGACACTGAGGGTTGCGATCCGTTGCCGGACACGGAAAAAGACAAAAAAATAATAATAATAATAATAATATACATATACTGAATATGCATATATTTGCATAAAACGTCTTTGGAAAAATACACAAGAAACTGGGATACCTCAGTTGCCTCCAGGCAGAGAACCACATGGCAAGTGGAAGGGGAGTGAGGGAGACTCACACTATGTTCCTTTTCGTACCTTTTGATTTTTGAACTATGTGAATGTATTACCTGGTTCCAAAAAAAGTAAATAAATAAAATTTTTAAATTAAAAAAAAAGCCAATGGAAAATTCCCAAGACAGTTTGCCTTTGGGGAGCGTGGATCTGCCTCTGCTGCATTCATTGTGCACTGTCACAGAGAAAGCAGTAGATTTCCAATTCTATGTTTAAAAGACTCTTTCTTTTTTTTTTTTTTTTTTTTTTTTTTTTTTTCCGTGTCCGGCAACGGATCACAACCCTCAGTGTTGCCCCCGTACGGGACGGGGGTCCGGCGACGGGATCGCAAGCCTCGGCGTTGCTCCCGCGCCTCGCGGGAGCCGGTCTGTACGTGGGATCCGAACCCTCGGACGGGAGCGCTGCCGCGCTTCCCAAGCAGCGCACTATCCAGTGCGCCACCGGGCCGGCCCTAAAAGACTCTTTCTAAGGCAGAAAGTCTTCTTTATAAGAAAGCCAAATATTGCCATTCACCAAAAAAGAAGGAAGAAGAGGAGGAGGAGGAAAAGGAGAAAGAAGAGAAAAGCAGAACAGGAAAGAAAACAACCATCAAGACCACACACGTTCATCTCCAAGCCACTACACAGAAGGCTCGTGCAGCTCCTCCTCCCGTGTATTTGCCAGGGGCAGGTCCCCAAAGTTTCTGCTCAGTGCTGGGCCCAATGCTGACCATATGCACTTCAGCCTCAGACTACCTGGGTTCAAGTCCCATCCTTGTCACTCACTAGCTATGTGACCCTGGCCAAGTAACTCACGCTCTTTGAGACTTAGTCTCCTCATCTGTCAAATGGGGATACTACCTGTACCTGTCTCATGGGATGGTAGCCAAAGGCCAAAGAGATAATGAAGAAGAGCACATAAGAGAATGCATGTTAGTTATCGGTAGTAGGCTCTGTTTCTGCCTTAAATGTGACCCCGGTCTGGGTAACGAAACTTCCTGAGGTTCCCCGGCTTCAGGAATTAGACAAATGGCGTGCAAATTCGTGTGGCTGTGCATTTGTACATTTTCCTGGGGCAAGGAGCCACAGCTATTATCAGATTCTCAACACTCAAAGGGGTTTGTGATTGCCAAAACAATGAGATCTACAGATGTAGAAGTAAAGACAGAAGTAAATAGAGCCTTCTAGGACAGGGGATCCTCACCACGTGGGGGTCTCTGTACATGCTAGTTCTTCTGCTTGGAATGCCCAAATCTTCCCCAGACTGGGTCTTTCTCCTCACTCGGTTCTCAGCCTCAATGTCACTACCTCAATTAAATACCCTGGCTGCCCCATCTAAAGTACCATTTACCACT